TTCTCCCCATTACTCCCACAAACTTGTGAAGATTGATAGAATACTACCTGAAAAAGCACTTTGCAAGAGAGGTTTGAGGCTGTGAAATTGGAAGCTTTTACCATGCAGATAAAATCACCTGTAGCTAGTGCATTTATTTTCTTGATTGTGAAATAACCATTTAATGGCAGTATTTGGGGAGTGGGGGGAAAAGGAGGAAGAAACTTTGATTTTAAACTTAACATGATTAATAATAGAAATAATAAAAAGCACAAGTTAGACTTGAGGTAGTGTGGTAATTAGCTCTGGTTACTGAAAAATGGGATAGATGTATTCTGTCAAAGTGAAGCCTGGTGAAAGCACAAGAAAATGGGATATTCCTTGTTTGATGGCATACTAAACAATACTATGCCTCTATATCGCTAAATGTTAATTCTTACGGTTTTCATCCAGACTCTCATGACCTTAAAGATCCTTGTTTGCTAATGACTCCCAGTTTTAGATTTTTAACCTTGACCTATTCCTAAAATTCTCTGTGTGATGTTGGAGTCAATTGATAGATTTAAGTATTATAATAATTATTATTACACATTTTAGGAGTCGTTTTAGATAAGATACTAAACTAAAATTAACTTAAACATCTGACAACTTTATCCTGGAAAGTATAGCAAACGGGACATATAGCGTCATATTTATGCACATATACAAGATTATTTCAAGATAGGAATTTCCAAAATGTGTTGTCTCCACTCACTTCATTTAAACCCTGTATTGCCTGTTTCATTCATCATATTCTAACTGTTTGTATAAAACAGTACCAATTTTCATTTTTTTCCTCAGTATGAGGTCATTTATTCCAAAAGCATTGAATGCCTTCAAAAATGACACATACTGCCCAGCTCTGGCAATTGTACAATTACCAAAACATCCTTGCCTTCAAGAAGATTTCAATCTTGTAGAGCCATTTGCAATGTAAATCTCAAATTTTAGAGGCATCAATTAAGACTCCATTTTTCAAAATCAGGAAGACTTGAAAGCATGTTTTGGATGAAAATTTTTTAAACAAGAAGAACCAGTATCATTGGCTAAAGAATAAATTTTGACTTTTTGTTAAAGGTACAGAAGTGCCTCTCTAACTGACCCTGTAGTCAGGAAACTCATCCAATTAAACAATTTAGGAAGCAACTTGAGTTTCTGAAGAACGCTTATTAACATGAATATTTTAAGAAGTGAGAGTGTCAGCTTAAAATGGAGTGTCTTTTTTTATAATCCTAAAAAAGGTAGCGTATTAGTATGCCTTTTTTATTGTGGTATAATATACAGAAAATAAAATTTACCATTTTAACCATTTTTTAGTGTACAATTCAGTGGCATTAAGTACATTCATATTGTTGTATAACCATCACTGCTATCCATCTCCAGAACTTTTTCATCTTCCCAAACTGAAACTGTTAGTGTGCCTTTTTTATGAAGTAGTCTAACAACAGAACAAAAGATTCTCTCAAAAAACTGTTTTTCATTTTCCTAATTAGATTTCCTTTTTCCAGTGGGCGGAAAATATTTTTTTTTTCCATCTCTAGGCTTAAGTCGTTTAAATAATACCTTACTTGGGCAGGGCATGGTGGCTCATGCCTCTGTAATCCCAGCACTTTGAGAGGACAAGGCAGGACAATCACTTGAGACCAGTCTGAGCAACACAGTGAGACACAACACTACAAAAAATTTAAAAGATTAGTTGTGCATGGGGTCTCACTCTACTATTCCTAGCTATACAGGAGGCTAAGGCAGGAAGATTGCTTGAGCCCAGGAGCTTAAGGTTGCAGTGAGTTATGATGGTGCCACTGCACTCTATCTATCTTAAGCAATAAAGCAAAACGCTGTCTAAAATAACTAAATAAAGATTCTTGTGTAATATTTGCTTAGACCTTTAATAATTATAACTTCTTGAATCTTTATACCATTTAATGGAATAGTAAGGACAACAATACATGTTCAGTATGAGTTTGGTTTTGAGTTTCATCAAGTTTATTAAAACTAGAAAACAGTTAATATTGTTGACAGGTAAAAATCACAATTTTAAATAAAAGGAAGAATAAAATTCTTGATCTCAAAGGGGTAGTGAGATTATTACACCAAAATTTGGGGTCATTTAGGATCATGCTAGTGGAACCAAAAGCTTGGACCAGGGCAGAGCCAAGCACACGTCAATGTCTACTACAAACTAAAGATGTAGAAGATACAAAGGTAGAAGCCTTTTTACATTGGTACAGCTCAGCACAAATGTATAGGAAAGAGTAAGCACTAATATGGTAAGTCTGAGGGTCAAAGCAGGCAAAGATAAGCTCCCCTGCCCTGCAAAAGTAAAAAGCAGTTTAAAATACAGCAATAGCTCAGCTCATTGTTTCTGATCCTGTGGCAGATGATCTGTGCCCTTCTATTTCTGGATGTGTATAAAGTGGTTTTTTGAGCTGGGCTCAGTAGCTTATGGGCTGGGGGGTGGAGAGAGTTGCTTGAGGCCAGGAGTTCCAGAACAGCCTAGGCAACATAGAAAGACCTGTCTCTGTAGCATGTGCCTGTAATCCTAAATAGTCAGGAGACTTGAGGCAGGAGGATTGCTTGAGTCCAGGCATTTGAAGCTGCAGTGAGCTGTGATCCTGTCTAGGCAACAGAGAGAGACCCTATCTCTTAAAAGATAAATAAAATGAGCTTTTGATCTAGATTTTAAAGTGTGGAACTGTGAAAAAAATAAAATAAAATAAAAAAAAATCAAGCCTTTACATACTTATAAAAAAATAAAAATAAAAATAAAAAAATAAAAAAAAAATAAAATAAAAGTGTGGAACTGTGGTTCCCAAACCCCAGACCAGGTACCAGTCCATGGCTTGCTAGAAACCAGACCAGCATCACCACCCGCTGCCCTCCAGAAAAAATTGTCTTCTGTGAAACTGGTCTCTGGTGCCAGAAAAGTTGGGGACCACTGGTGTAGGAGACTGACTGCAGTCCTTTAAGTGAAGGAAGCTGAGAGCCAGAACTACAATTGGGGTTGCCAATAGGCATATAAAAAAATACATTGGAGTAACAATCTATTAAAAAATGCTATTCTGAAACTTCTCAATTTTTCCTGGATATGGCAATATAAATTAAGAAGTCAAACTAATAGTCCATAACATTTTCAATTAAGGATCAAGTTCCAAGGGATAGAAAATTAGGATTTGTTATAAGGAAATTAACAAAATCATCAAGAAAATATTTAAATGCTTAAAATAATAGTAGGTATCTAGAAACTTGTAGAAGTTTCTCTGTATCCTTTATTTTATTTATTTCAGTTGCCTGGGCTGGAGTGCCATGGTGTCAGCTTAGCTCACAGCAACCTAAAACTCCTGGGCTCAAGCAATCCTACTGCCTCAGCCTCCCAAGTAGCTGGGATTACAGGCATGTACCACCATGCCCAGCTATATTTTTCTATATATATATATAGTTAGCCAATTAATTTCTTTCTATTTATAATAGAGACCGGGTCTCGCTCTTGTTCAAGCTGGTCTCGAACTCCTGACCTTGAGCAATCCATCCGCCTCGTCCTCCCAGAGTGCTAGGATTACAGGCATGAGCCACTTAGCCCAGCCTGTATCCTTTATTTTAAATGTATCTTCATTGAGCAGAATTGAACATGTCACTGAGCAGCAACTCAGAGCCATTAGAAGTTCTTTGAAATTCCCACAAATCTAAAAAGGAGTCTAGGATCTAATTATATTTGTCAGACAGCATACATTCTACATTGTATTAATATTAAGCATCCATGTAACTTAAAGATTTTATCTTTATTGAAACTATATGAATTTGTGAAAGTTATCAAATATATGAAATAATATTAAAAATAGATTGTTTTTTCAAAAACAAACTATTAGTTAAAAAAAAAAACATTAAAAAAATAGGGCAAGGCAAAAATAGTGGCTTATGCCTGTAATCCAAGTACTTTGGGAGGCAGAGGTGAGATCACTTGAAACCAGGAGTTGGAAACCAGCCTGAACAACATAGCAAAACCCCATTTCTACAAAAAAAATTTTATATTAGCTGGGCATGGTGGCGTGAACCGATAGTCTCAGCTACTTGGGAGGCTGAAGTGGGAGGATTTGAGGTTACAATGAACTATAATCACGCCACTGCATTCCAGCCTGGGTAACAGAGCAAAAACCCTGTCTCAAAAAAAAAAAAAAGGAAAAAGAAAGAAAATAGGATGGTTAGACTCTAGTGATATGGAAGATTCACTGAAAAATAAAAAAGTAAGGAAGGGAAATAAAATGAAAATGAAGTTTAAGCAAGTTTAGTTTAAAATACATGTACAAGATATTATCTAGAGGGGAGAAGCTGATAATCAGATTTTAAAGTGTGGAATTGTGGTTCCCAAACCCCAAACCAGGTACCAGTACATGGCTTGCTAGAAACCAGACCAGCATCACCACCCGCCGCCCCCCAGAAAAAATTGGTCCCTGGTGCCAGAAAAATTGAGGCCTGCCAACTAGGGAGCTAGTTAGGAGATAGTTAGCTCCCTCACTAGGGAGCTAGTTAGGAGTTTTTAATGCCATTTGAAGTGTAAGGGGATGTCTGGCTTCGAAGTAGTTGAAGTGGAAATGAGGAGAAAATGGGATTCAAAAGAAAGAAAAAGAGGTATGATTTAGTAACTGACTAGAGATAAAAAGTGAAGTTTGACTCAAACATCAGCTTTGGTGACTTTTCATTCCCCATATATTTAATTAAATATAAGTAGGAAATATTAAAGTATTAGATTTGCCCTTTAGAGAAACTCTTCTTTCTCTATTCCCTTCCCACTTACATATGAAATTTGAAACTATATGAATTTGTGAAAGTTATCAAATATATGAAATATTAAAAATAGATTGTTTTTTCAAAAACAAAAAGTGTTATTTGTCAATTAAAAATAAAATTTAAAAAAATAGGGCTAAGCGCAGTGGCTTACACCTATAATCCAAGCACTTTAAAGAAGCTTTTCTTTCTCCATTTCCTTCCCACCTATGTGAATAATTTGAAAAAAATTTTACTGTCCTCAGGCAGCTGATTAGCACCTTCCTTTAATCCTTTTCCAAGCAGCATACTGTTACTACACATTCTGAAATAGCTATTACACGAGTTAAAAGATGTTCTGCCTCACTAGTAAATAAATAAATGCAAATTATTAATAAAACAACCAAGTTTGTTTTTATGGTAATATTTATTGCTGTGAGGGCTTGATGAAACACATATTCATTTCTGTTAGAGTAAATTGATATAATCTTTAAGGAAAGAAATTTGCAAATATGTGGCAAAAGCCTTTAAAATGTTTAAGTACTTCCATTTGTAAAAATTCATATTAAGGACATAGAGATGCAAAGAGATGATGCATGCCAAAACATTAGTTGTAGTGTTCCCAGTTTTCTAGTTTTTCATAGTTACAATTATATCTAACTGTCCAGGGATAGAAGTGAATGGTTAAATAAAGACTACATCTATGATGGGATATTACACAGCCTTAAAAAATAATAATGTTTTAATTTTAGTGATGAAGAATAAATGCTTATGATATACAGTTGGCGCTCCATATCCGCAGGTTCCACATCCAAGAATTCAACCAACCGAGGATCAAAAATATTAGGGGAAAAAAAATAAAGAATAATACAAATTTTAAAAAAACAATATAGCTTAACAACTACTTATGTAGCATTTACATTGTATTAGGTATCACAAGTAATCTTGAGATGATTTAAAGTATTCGGGAAATACTGTGCTGTTTTACATAAGGGACTTGAGTATCCACATATGTTGGTATCCATGGGTAGTCCTAGAACCAGTTCCCCCACAGATGCCTAAAGACAACTATAATGTTAAAGTGAATTCCAGTTTTATACACTTGAGTAATATCCTATTATATGCCTTTCTGATCTGTTTTTATAACCATTATTAGGGGAAAAGTCTTGCTATTCTTTTCAGAAGTTAATTGCCTACCACACTACAGATAATAAAACTAATTTTAACCTTCTTGAGCTGAAAATTTCCCACTTAAAGTCTGAAAGTACCCATTAACAATTATGAATCAATGACATTTGAACAAGAAGACACTTAGAATAAAAACATTTAGGAAAATGTGTAGATGAGTTTTTATATCTTACCAAAATGATTAAATTGGACATATTTTCTTACTGATTCATGAAATTGCCAACATTTTTAAAATGCAGCTTTGGAAAATGAGTTCATCACACTTAACCTCACTGATCCTCAAATAGTAATTAACATTTATTGAATGCTTATTATGGCTGATAACAGTTTTAAGGCAACGTTCTAAACATGTGATGTATCATAACTCAGTTAATCCTCAAAATAATCCTTTGGTAAGGGTTGTTATTTCCATTTTAGATGAGGCAGCTGAGGCTCAGAAAATTAGGTCACTCACCTAAATAAGTGGTAGGCCTAGGATTCCAATTCAGACAGTATGGCTCCAAAGTCCTCTCTTTCACTGCTATTAAGTTTGTTCCAGAGATAGAATTCCAAAGGACAAGGTCAAACCCAGCTAAATAAGTAAAGATAGTTTTAACCAAGAGTCAAGAATTAGAACTGGAGCCCAACTAAGAGAAATTATTTTAGGTGAGTGATTCTTAACCTTCATCTTATCAGTCTTAAGTAGGCTTGATAACATGGACTCTGAAGCCAGAAATGGGGAAATAATTGTACTATTTTCTAGAGATGTTTTAGGGATCAAAAGTGAATGCATGTAGAGCATGTCGAACAGTGCCTTACCTACAGTATTCAGTGAATATTAGCTATTAAAGATCTATTAACATTCTTCCTGGAAACTATATATATATATATATATATTTATGTATATACCCAAACACACAAATTTAGGCCCTTTGTTGACCATATAAAGCCCATGTTTGGATCCTCTTAACAAGGATCAGAGTGAAGAATCCCTGTTATAAATAAATCTCTTTTTACCCTTGAATATGTTTGAATCAAGGTTCGTTGTCCAGGGTAAGGGATGCCAATTCTCATTTTTACCTGGTATTGAAGTAAAACAAATGCAATCTTCATTTATTAATGCCTTTTTTGATAATGGAGTAATTCAATACACAAATTCATAAGTGTTTCTCATCTTGACTGTTGATACATTAATTGGGGGATTGACTCCTAAATAAACACATTTAATTAGGGGAGCAGGTGAAAATCCATTGTGATTGTCCAGAATTTGCAGCCTTTCCTGACTTTTATTTCTCCAACTTCCTAGATCTTGACATGTGATTGTTTAAGACATTTAGGCCTCTATTGCTACCACTACTCCTTCCAACTAGATTGATAACTGGTAGCAGTGGCAGTTGGAGCCCTGGAATGCTGCAAAATGAAAACAGAAGAAAATAAGCTAAAGTAATCATGGATTAGAGAACTAGATTGCCAAACTGTGTTCAGTTTAAATAGTCCCATATTTAAAGGGACTATTGAACAAATCCAGAAGATAGCAACCAGATGGCAAAGAATATGGCTACCACATCGTAGGAAGATCCATAGTCAGAGCTAGGGAGAAGGGAAGAGCTAGGGAAGACTAAGGTAGTGATAAGAGAACTGTTACTAGCTGCCGCCTTTGCACTTTAGAGAGGCTTCCTGGCATAATAATTCAGAATTCAGATATAGACAAGCATTTAAGTCCAGACTCTAACACTTTCTGGCTGCTATGAGTTGAGGCAAGTAACTTAATCTTGTGATCCCAGATTCTTTGTTATAAAATAGAGATGATAATAGTGCCACCTATAGGGCTCTTAGAGTTAAAGACTGTAAAAAGCACTGCATAAAGTCTAGCATGCCTTAAGTGCTCATTCAGTAAATGTACAGCAATAAACATGATACCTCTCAGGCTGAAATTTTAAAAATGAGTTAATATTAGAGGGAGGCAGATTCTGGCTCAATCTGAGGAAGAAATGCTGTCCCTGGATTTGTTAAAGTAAAAACTGAACAACTATATATCACATATCAAAGATTTATATGTAGTGTTCTGCCATTTGGTAAGAGGTCATTGTCTAAGTTCCCTTTCCACTCTGAGACTCTGGTTTTATAAGCCAAACTCATATGAAACCATGTTTTTTTGTTTTGTTTTATTTTGTTTTGAGACAGAGTCTCGCTTTGTTGCCCAGGCTAGAATGAGCACCATGGCGTCAGCCTAGCTCATGGCAACCTCAGACTCCTGGGCCCAAGCAATCCTCCTCTCTCAGCCTCTCGAGTACATGGGACTACAGGCATGCACCACTGTGCCCGGCTAATTTTTTCTATATATATTAGTTGTCCAATTAATTTCTTTCTATTTATAGTAGAGACGGGATCTCGCTCTTGCTCAGGCTGGTTTCGAACTCCTGACCTCGAGCAATCTGCCCACCTTGGCCTCCCAGAGTGCTAGGATTATAGGCGTGAGCCACCACACCTGGCCGAAACCATGTTTTTTATAACATGGTTTGTTTATGTTACAGAAGTAATTCCAAGGAAGTTAGAGCATAAAATATTTTAGTTTCATATAATGAGGTTTTTTTTTATTGGATTCTTTAGTTATACCATTTACAAATTGAGAGAAGCACTGGTATGAGTGATATGAGAATTAAATTTGAGTGATAGAGGCTTCCATACAATATTATATATATATAGGGAAACTAAGCAGATTTAGGTATTAGCGCCTGGGAAAAATTAATTAGATTGTAGGAATACGATGAAAAAGGTCAGTTTAGGGGCAAAATGCATAAAACATGCTATTTAAATTCTGCCTAAAACAATTTGGAATGTATCTCAATAGTATTTTTGTTTCTCTGTAATTTATATTCTGCTTCCTCCTAGGAATAATTTGAAGTAATAGCTTAGAGCATTATACTAGATATGTGAGAAAAGAAAAAAGAGCTAAAAAGCCTTCCTACATCAAGCCAGAGAGGCAAATAGAAGTAGTAACTACTATGGCTCAAGGGAAAGTTATGCAGAGAAAGAATCTTTGTATGTAGGGACTCGGTGGTACTGTGGGGGCTGGGGAAGAGTACATTGTTTATGGGCAGCAAACAGGTTTATGTCCTTGTGCAGCTGTTGGCCTGCTTTGCAACTTTTGGTAATTCATTTAACCTTAGAACACTCAGTTTCCTAATCAAGTAAATCTGAATCTGAAATGTAATCTTGTTTTTCTTCCTCACATGGATATTATAATAGTTAATTGACTTAGTTTCTACATGAAAGAACTTTATAAGCTATAAAAGATCATCTAAGTTTTAATTATTATATGAAAATAGCATTCTGAATTCTTAAAATTCTTAAAAGTTATAAGTGTGCCCTTCACCCAGATACTATGCATTGTACCCGTTAGATGTGAATTTACCCATCCTGTCTTCTTGCCTCCCAAAACACTCAATACTTTAAGTAGAACTTTTGTTAGGACTTGAATCTGTTATTGGTTAGATTTATTTGTTGTTATTGTACAAATTGATGCTATATGATGGAAAATATATCTATTATATGGATACCATTAGTCTAGGTATGATGACAACTATAAGCTTTTTTTTCCCCCCCAGGAGATTTTGATGAATTCACTCAAGATAATAATGACGTTATGTTGAAAAGCATAGCAGAAGACCTCCGGAATTGCTTACCTCTAGAAACCATGCTTTCTTCAGAACACCTAGCCCTTCAAAAAGTAAATACACTAAATTAATTTATTCTTGGTGCTACCTAAGGATTATCCTATTCTTCCATAACCCCACAGCCTTTCTAGTCTAATTAGCCCTAACTTCAGTTTTCAACAGTTTTTCATTTATGCTTCAACTATGTCCCCAATTCTTTTGAGTCCTTAACCCTTTGGCTCCCTAGTGCTATTCATTCAACAAATATTTTTTTGAGAGCACCCTGTTTGCCAGGCTCTCAAAAATAAAAAATGATTAATGCCCAACAAGGGCCAATGATATGGCCCTGCATACATCATTGTCCTGGTTTTCTCTTCCCTGTTTCACTTCCCTCACTCTTTTCAAGGATGAAGCTTACCTTTTTGTTTCCTTCTCCTATATTTACATTGCACATTTTTTGCTTATTCTTCTATACCTTTATTTTTAGAAAGAGTTCTTGTTTTTCTTCTCCATACAACCCCCTCATTCAAGTTCCTTTAAATCCCAGTCCTTATGGGAGATGTATGCTATGAATATTGTTTTGCAAAGCAAAGCTAATAATAATCTATTCTTTACCCACTAATCTGAAAATAGCAATCTTCCATGTGGTTTTTGGCCTATAAACACCTGCACAGAGAAATGAAATCATGCACGTTCTTTTTTTCCCCTATAGTTCCTTATGCATAATCTACATATTCTTAATAGTGTTAATAGTGCTGTGCACATTGTGAACACCTAGCAAATCTTAGTAAACATCCAGCTATTCAGAGTAGATTCTCAATGGAGGAAAATAGTGAATAGTATAAAAATTGAAAGAAATATTTATAATACAGTTTGGAGTGGGGTTTTCATGGTTTGGTTTTGTTTTTGTTTTTGTTTTTTTTTTTTAGACAGGATCTTGCTTTGTTGCTTAGGCTGTGCTCAAGTGATTGTCCCACTTCAGCCTCCCAGGTAGCTGGGACTATAGGCATGCGCCACCAGGGCCAGCTAATTTTTTGTTTGTTAGTTAGTTCGTTCGTTTGTTTGTTTATTTGTTTGTTTGTTTGTTTGGAGAAGGGGTCTCACCATGTTGCCCAGGCTGGTTTCGGACTCCTGGTTTCAAGCAAACTTCCTGCCTTGGCCTCCCAAAGTGTTGGGATTATAGGCATGAGCCACCACATCTGCCTGGATATTATTAATAAAGCAGTCTTTATTGGTATTTGATATACCACAATATATAAAATGAGGGAAAAAAAGTATTCAGTGTCTGTATAATGGAACCACAATCTTTTAACAAATTAAACTGTTTTTATCTTCTTCAGTTTCCTTCTGATCCTTGTAGATATCCATATCTGCCTTTACATACTTACAATATAGGTTTCTTTGTGTAAATGGATATGTAATTGTTAGGTATCCAAATAGGATTCTTTATTATAGTTAAATAGAAAGAATCAGACACTTTTTTTGTGTGGCCAATTCTTATTATATCTTGTACCACAAATATTAATAAAGAGCTATTATTTGTAAGCATTAAGTTTTAATAACATTTTTATTATTTGAAAACTGCTTTCTGGGCAGTTTTCACTGACATGTAAGACTCAGAAGACTTGGTATTACTTTCAACTTTTCCCCCTATTGTTAACTGGTGTGATTCTTTGAGGAAATCTCACTGGTTATTAATTTCTTTGCCTGTAAAATATACTAATTAGGATGGACAAGATGATCTCTAATATTCCTTTCAACTAAAATTTTATGTATTTCTCATAGCCACATTTTGCATCATTCCAGGTCAAATTAAAAGTTGCTAGTGTCTCAGAAATAAAATGAAAAAAGAACTGTTACTGACTTGAATAAGTAAAACATATCTTTCTGTGCCTTCTTTTTGCTCTCAGAATTTTAGCATATGAACCAACCACTGATGTTTTGCCTTATTTAGCAATAAAAAGAGACTTCTTTGTACTTTGTTTCTTTTGATGTTTTTCTCTCTCCACCAGATACAGCAGCAGCCAGACCCCACAGTTCATGTTGATGCATTCCTTTATGATGAAGACTTGATTGATTCATTATGTGAGGAAGGGAAAATGAGCAGAAACTACTGTATGGTGTGTGGCTCACACCAGACAGCACCTTTAGGTAGGCACTCAGGCGTGCAAATCTGATGACTTTATATGTGTACTTTTTCCTTATATGTCATGAGTATGCAAATTTTCAACCAAGCCATTCAGTGTTTTTTGAAACATCTGCAGCATGGCCTTTACCAAATGTTGCAGTTAAGGAGGCTAAGTAGAAATATTATCTAGGGAAACTAGGCTACTTATTGTCCCCCAGGCCATGTCTAGAAACTGTTTTTCGCATCTAAAAACTGTTTAATCAGAGGTAACTCTTCAGGTTCAGAAACTAATCAGAAGTGACTGAATACTGGACAAACAATTCATACTCTACATACTCACCAGAGATTGGTAATATTAACCGTACACTGATTTATTTATAATGAAAAATATAACTTACAAAGGGGCTGAAATATTCTTCCTATAAAAACACCTACTTGTGAAGTCATATAGTGATCAGATATTATTGGGTGGGCTTGGACTCAGAAGACAGAGATAGGTAATCCTGAGAAAGAGTTAATTCAGGACATAATTTGACCCAGTGAGGCATCCTGATCCATAACAGAGAACAACTCTAGTGACAGAAGGTCTTCTGCATATCTGCCTCTCAGCTGCAGCACCTATGTCC